ATGAGGACAGCACCTCCAAGGTTAAGCAGATCTAATTGGGAATAATATGGTAGAGATATGGAGACAACAAAGCTCTTTGAAGATAGAACTGAGCTCTGAAACTGCCTTATCTTTGAATTTTTGTTACTTTTTTTTTAAAAAAGGTATTTTGAAGTGTTTTCAGGTTATTTACATTTGAAAGAATCTTAACTGATGGAGGGAATCAACCATGTTGCCAACATGTTGTCTCTTGTCTCCTGTCTCCCCTGAACTGGTATCCTGCTCCCCTCCTCTTGCCTCTTGGTCCATTCCTTATTCTGGTGTCCTCCAAACAGTGAGCACTGTTCTTCTGGCTGAGAGTTCTGCTCATACTCCCCAGGGGCTTCTCCCTCCAAGACTCCTCTTCCCCAATCCTGCAGGCTCAGATGTCCTCTGAGGCCTCTTGATTCTGGCTCCCTTCTCAGACCGCCCCCAAGCTCTTTACTCTGATCTAACGGGAGAGCTGGCAGTGGGTGTTTGTAGTTAGGAGACCCTACATTAGTCCCAACTTTGCTTCTTTTTTGCTCTAGGGCTGTATCGACCCCCTCGTGCTCCAGAAGACTGGAGGGAGGGTGGATGCCAGTTCTTGGACATGGATCTTCAGCTCTGCTTCTGAGGTTCTCTTGGCTCCACCAAGGGAGCAGAAACCACTCTAAGTATTGGCTCCACAGGAAACAGAACCACTCTAGGTATTTTCAGCAGAAAGAGATTCAATAAAGGCATTTAGGTCTCTGCAAAATCATTGGAAGGGCTGGCACAGCAGGTTCTAGGCTGGGCCTCCAAGAACAGTTCCTGGGTTGTACAGTACTACCCACCAGAGTTCATCCAGAACTCTGAAGTGCAAGAACTCACTACCCAAGGATCAGTAAACTGGGACTGGGAATCGGACACCATCATCTTAATTTCCTTTTGACTCCAACAAAAGAGGTGACTGGATAAAGGGATCCCCACATTCAGACCAGAGCATCTCCATTCCTTATTCACCCAGAGAAGCCAAGTCTCACAAAAGTGCCTCTTAAGAGCAGAACTTAACTCTTACCTAGAACCTTGGCTTTAAGGGAGTATGAGAAATGTGGGTTTTAGCTTTCTAACCATTGATGCGCAGAGAGCTGTGAACAGAAATGGGGAATGATGCTGGAGCCCATTCTCACATCCAGCGCGGGTGAGTAAGGTATAGTCCATTGCTCAGCAACTCGGAGCCTATGTCTTGTTCTACAAATTGATTACACTATGCATGCTTAACTCTTAGCGGTGATGTGGGGATCGAATGAGTTCATTCACGTAAAGCTCTTGGCACCTTGCCTTAGCAACAGATGATGAATGTGAGATATTTTTGATATTTTTGTTTCAGATACTTGCAAACTTGACACCTTAATCTGAAATAGGCTCCGGATGTCTTTCGGTTGGTAGAAAGTTTGCAGAAGATATAGAAAAAGCGGGCTTGAGAGGGTGGTCATGTGATGAGTCAGGGACAACCAAGGCCCTTGGGTCATCCAGAGCCTCTCTGGACAGGCTGCTTCCTGAGCTCCTCCCAACTGCTCAGTCATGCCAGGCAGAGCAAACTCTCCAGCCAGAGATGTTATATAAGCTGCATTTTTTTTTTTTTTGTTTACAGGAAAATTTGAAAACATCAACGGGGCTTGGCCTAAGCTGCTTAATTCCTAAAGTCAACAAAAATTGGGCAAGTAAGGCAGGCATGTGCAAAGCATCTGTTTAGGCCCAAAGCCAGGGCTAGCACGGGCAGCCCCTGGTCATCTCTAGCTCAGCCTACTCTTGGTCCCAAGATTCAAAATCGGAAATGCCTGGGGGAAGCCATGTACTCGTGGATGCACGGCTTCCACGCACACTCACTATGGGCCTGGACCCTCTGCCAGGCGCTGAAGTTCTCTCCCCTAGTGGCAGCCCTGTACTCTGCTATACTCTGGAAGGCTCAGAATGCTCTGGAAGATCTCTCTAGGCATTTTCCAACACTTCAGACAGGGTTCAGTCTCTTAGCAAAGCAGGAAGAGTGGGAGGCACCTCAGCTGGAGAGGGAAGACAGAGGTAAGTAGACAGAGGGTGTCTCCTCCTTACAGTCTCAAACTTCTAAAGCTCACAGCCTTTGTTCTCTCACATGACAATGGTGCTGAGCCGGTGCCAAGCTTCACAAGCAACTGCCTTGCCCCTCCTGGGAATTCTTCCCAGGGCCGGTCCCAGGCTGCTGCATTCACAGAACATCTTTCCTTTGAGCAGGAGCCAAACATGATCTCACAAGTCCTCATGTGGCCTTCTGGGAAAAAAATGTTTGTGCTGGTAAATGTTTGGCTTGAGAAAGAACCCTGTTTTCCAAAGCTCGTATGCTTTACAGGAGATTACAGGGTTGGAAAATGGAAGAAACTGGAGTAACACTGTCCTTCCCTCGAGAAAGGCAAAGGGGTAAGGGCAGAGAAGATCCAGATCCAGATAGATGACCTAGCAGGAGGACAATCAGGCTTCCTGCGCATCCTGACACTGAGTTCTTTATCAGGCCAACAGTGGCTACACAGAAACAGATATGTTTTCCTTCTGCTTCTGCTCCTAAGCTGGTGCTCCTTGTGATGTAGGTTAGAGAGGCTACCGCATAGCACACGTGCATTACTCCTTCATCCTGTGCCTGGGGCAGACATCGAAAATTGACCACCACACACTTTTCTGCTGAATTTTCAGAGGTTCACGGCACAGCAGTGCAGGACAATGTGGCCAATTGTGCAGAAATAGCAGGCTGGAGAAGATCTGTTTGCTATTCGTTATGGTTGAAGGTTTATCCCTGAGACAGAAGAGAAGGATCTCACATTCCCCAAGAGCTACTGTATTTTTCTTTCCTCCATCTTTGTGTGTGTGTGCCTGCACATGTGGGGTGTGTTTGTTACTAAGAATTGAACCCAGGGGCACTCTACCACTCAGCTGCGGGACTCTATCATAGTCCTAGCCCCTTTTATTTTTTATTTTGAGACAGGGTCTCATTAAGTTGTCCACACTGGCCTCAAACCTGTGTACCTCCTGCCTCAACCTCCTAAGCAGCAAGAATTACAGTCATGTATCACCACACCAGCCTCTTTTTCCCATCTTTGACATTTGCCTCACAACCAGCAGGTTACATCAGACATGATTGCTTCAGGAAACATTTGCGTTGACTGCAGATCCATTCCAGATAGCTCTGCCCTATGGTATTTCTGGAGAACTCCACCCCTCTGAAGCCACTTCAGCTGTCCTCACCCAGGACTTCGAGGAGCCATTCCCCTATCCATGACTAAGCAGAGAGTCTGCCATTAGCTAGCAGGACACTGTGTGCATGTGTGTGAGCCCACATTGTTTTTGTTTTGTTTTGTTTTAATTTAAGCAGTCTTCTTTACCTTATCAGAACAGTTAATTGTGCTACTCCCTCTTATGATGCAGCACAAATCCTAATATAACCTTTTTGGGATAGTTTTATTCTGCCTACTCATGATTACTATCTTGAGTAGAAGAGGCTGAGCAGGTATCACTGAGTCTGCTGGTACTAAAAATGGCCAACAGCAGGAACTGGTAACACTGAGGGCAGCTGGATCCAGAGAGCTGTGGGTGAGAAACTGATGTGACTCCATTTTTGAAAATAAATAAATAACAGCAGCTTCTACCTCAAGGCCTGTCCTAAGGAAGGGGGCATGACCCTTGTCCTTGGAAAAACCCACAGAGCCTTCTAGGCAGATAGCCACCTTGCTGAGTTGTTTGTCTGCAAATAACAGGAGAGATCTGCTGCGCCAGGTGTCCCTGACTCAGTTAGGCTAGGTGAGGACCCATAGCAACCCCCTAGCAACTTCCAATCAGCATGAGACAGGGAAAATACCTGAGATGCCAGAGGACCCCCAGTAGTTTATGGTGGTTGATAACATGTTGGGAAACCATGTAGTTCAGCACGTACACCCCTCGTGGCTTAAACCAATCAGTTCAAAGGAATCCCCCTCTTGTACTAACCAATCACCCCTACCCAACTTGTTCCCACCAGTGAATGTGCTAATCAATGCTAAGAGTTGTTGTTTGATTTTCCCGCGGTATGGAATGATTTGCTGAGTGATGTTGTGACACATACAGTATTCCCAAAAACCTATAAAATCTTGTTGTAGGGACAAACGAGGCAAGGCACAAGATAACAGGAAACAGTTTTATTTGGCTGCAGAATTTTATACCGAGCATGTCAGGGGAGGGGCTCAGAAGTTCACAGTCTGCAGAAGTTCACATAAAAGCAGCTTTTTCTTTCACTGTTCTGGGCAAGTTAACCCTTCAAGGACAACACCTGAGAAGGGGAGAGCTTCTTCTCCCCTTTCTTTCCTCCCCCTGCCAGCTGTTACCATGGAGCCCATTTGTAACTTATCTTAAAAATGTAGACATCTCTGTGAAGCCCAGCTCAAGGCCAGAGGCCTTGTTTGCACATTTCTACAAAGTACTATACTGGATACATTTGAGAAAAACTAGTAAGTGGGTGTCCAGCACCTGGAGTGCTGGTATCTTCCTGGCCAGTGGCCAAGTAAAACAAGGTGACACGAAAAAAGGAAGTTTATCCACATTGAACTCTTTTGCAGAAACTCTTTTGCTGACAGTCCTAAAATCAGCCTTGGTGAAGAGGGCTTTTCTGTGGAAAAGAACAAAGGATCGGGGCTCACTCCCTGGGACCGGAAACAGTTGTGAGGCCAGGCTTGAGCTTGAATAAAGATTCTTGTGTGATTGCATCGAATTAGGCTCCTGGAGGTCTACTGGGGTCCCACGAATCTGGCATACATCAGTAACTGCTGGTTTTGGCTACTGGAAGATCAACAAGGAGAGCTGCTAACACTGGGAGGTGAGAACCACTGACACTCAAGGATCAGGGCTGCTATACATTTTCCCAAACTACAGAACATCTGTTTTTCCATGTTAGATCACAGACCATCTCTATAAGTAAACAACCTTGATGTAAAGGGGCTTACAGCCTCCTTCCCCGGCTCCACAATTTTTAAATAGCTTTATTGAGATACAATTCACACACCACATTCACCTTTTTTGGGCATACAATTTAGTGGGTTTAGTGCATTCACAGGTATGTGTGATCATCAGCACAATTTTACAACATTTAAACCACTCCAGAAGAAACACTGAACCCCTTGGGACTGTCATCCTCAGTCCTCGTCCCATCTCCAGAAAGCATTCATCGACTCTGTCTCTACCAACCCACCTGTTTTGGCTTTTCACATCAAACATGTATGTGTTCTTTCACGTCTGACTTCTTCCACTTAGTGTGATGTTTTCAAGGTTCTACCATGCATCCATGTAGCATGGATCAGTACTCATTCATTCCTTGACAGTGGAATGATATTCCACTATGTGAATAGACCACAGTTTGTTCATCCTTTTATCAGTTGACAGATGCTTGGGTCGTCTCCACTTTGGACTATTGTAAAGAAGGCTGCGGCTGCATTTACACAGTGACATGTAAAAGAAAAAAGGGCATTTTCCTTAGAAACCTCAATAAAATGCTTTCCATTTTCTAGTGTACTTTATTTTTTAAAGCAGTTTTAGGCTTAAAGAAAACTCTTGTTCTTTTTTTTTAATTTTTTTTTTTTTTAGTTGTCAAGGATTTTATTTTGTTTATTTACATGTGGTGCTGAGAATTGAACCCAGGGCCTCACATGGGCCAGGCAAGTGCTCTACCAATGAGCCACAACTTCAGCCCCAAACTCTTGTTCTTATACCCCTTTACGGCTTCTCCACTACCCTGTCATGTTCCCCTATTGTTAACATCTTGCATGAGGATGCTGTATTTGTTCCAATGGATTCATCAATATCGATTCATTATTATGAACTAAAGAAGTCCATAGTGTACATTTGGGTTCACTCTGTATTATATATTCTATGAGTCTTGATGAATATCTAGTGGCATGGATTCACATTACAGTGTTCTACAGAGGAGTTTCACTTTGGTAAAAATCCTGTATGCTCCACCTGTCTACCAATCCCACCTTCCCCTCAACCCCTGGCAACTCATGATCTTTTTTTTTTTTTTTTAATATTTTTAGTTGTAGTTGAACACAATATCTTTATTTTATTTATTTATTTTTATGCGGTGCTGAGGATAGAACCCAGGGCCTTGCACGTGCTAGGCGAGCGCTCTACCACTGAGCCACAGCCCCAGCCCTCTTGATCTTTTACTGTCTCCATATCTTTTGCCTCCTATGGTCGAGTAGGCAGCCTCTTCAGGGTGACTCCCTTCACTTACTAATATGTGTTTAAGTTTCCTCCATGTATTTTCATGACTTGGTAGCTCACTTCATTACTGAATAACATTTATTTTTATTTCTTGTAAAACTTTCACCAGAGAGAAATAACCTCACCGTCTTCTGGGCCTTGAAGCCCTAGCACTTGGCAAGTATCCAATGGGGGCTTCACTGTCATGTGGAGAATTTCGCCAGCTGGCTCTATCCATCCTCTTGACACCGGTCTTGAAAGTCTAGGAGCAGGTCCTTGTTCCCCAGGTGTTGAAGATTACAGAGGCAAGAAACAAGGAGGCAAGCAAACAAGTTTTATTGAAGAGACAGAACAGAGAGGGGGTGGGTGGGGACTGAGGCTCCTCCAAGAGAAGCCAGGAACCCATAGCTGGTGCCTGTGGGAGTGGGGGTGTTTTGCATTTTTATAGGTCCCCACTTCTTTCTTCGCTGGGGATATGCCCCAAAGCCAGGAAAGAGTAGCCCCAGGGGGAAATCGCTTGTGTTGGGAAGTTGGAGACTCCCCCTCCCCTGGAGGTGTTAGCAGCCCCTTGATGGGAAGCACTATCTCCTGATTTCCTTCTCTCTTATAATCAGCTGCCTGTCCTTTGCCCCTGCCTCACCCTCACCCACAGGCCTCAGAAATGCCTTGGAGCTGAGCCCCAGGTATTTCTGGAGTCCCAAGGCCTGGGCCTGGAAGGTGCCCAGTGAGGTCTTGTTGGGAGAAAAAGGGAGAAAAAAAAAAAAAACAGGAAAGAGTAAGGGGTAGAGGGAGGAGATGTTGGGGGTAGAGGCAGTGAGAAAAGGAAGCAGCTACCAAAATCTAAGCGGTAGTAGAGGGGGAGACCTGGGGGCTTCAGGGATTTGGGAGATGTTGGTCACCCTCAACAGAAGAGCCAGGGATGGGAAGGAGGCAGAAAGCTCAGTCTTTCCTGTTGTCCTTCACCCTGATGATATATATGAGGCTGAGCCACCAAGAGGCCAGAGACCTCAGTCTTCTCCATGGAGAGCTTGGGGTTTTGCAGTCACAGGGCAGTGAGGAAGGGTCACAGGGAAGGGCTTTGGCCCATGACCTGAGGGTAGACTTCTTAGAGAGGTCTTGGACCTGGTAAAGCATAACTGAGTGAGAAAAGGTTGACTGAGACCCCAGCCTCAGACTGTACCTGGCCATCATTTGTCCTGAGAGCCAATTACAAGACCCTTCTTCCCAGTGGGCCCACAATGACTGAGTCCTGGTGCTTTGTAAATTCCTCCTGGCACAGGAGGCTACTGGGGATGGGACTGCTCATCCCCACCCCAGCTAGCAAAGCTTCCCCTGGCTGCTTGGAAGCCTCCTTACCCCACGTATCTCCCCTACCCTACCCCAATCTCTGCCTCCTGCCATTCCCAGAATTTTGTAACTTTAGGTCTGTTACAGTTTGAATCTGGAGTGTCCCCCAAAGGCTCGTGTGTTGAAGGCTTGGTCCCCAGTTGGTGGTGCTCTTGGGAGGTTATAGGAACTTAAGGGGGTAGGGTGTAGTCAGGAGAGCAAGGTCACTGGGGAAATGCCCAGGATATATTTTGCCCCTGGACTCTTCTGATCTCTGATTCCTAGCTGCTATGAGGTGAGCAATTCCATACCACCAGTTGCTGCATGCCATGATGTTCTGACTGACCACAGGCCAAAAGCAACAAGGCCAAGTGACCATGGATTGAAACCTCTAAAACCATGAGCCAAAATAAATCTTTCCTCCTTAAAATTGATTTTCTCAGTTATTTTGACACAGCGACCAAAATCTAACTAATATGGTGTTTTTCTTCCCTGTGAGGGTACTGGGAAGGCCCAAGTCTCCTTAGAAAAGAACACCAAGTTCAGGGGAACTGCTCTGCCCTGTCTCAGTGATAAAGTAAGAGGAATGGGTTACATAGAAAAGGAGAAGAGAGATGGAGGATGGAAGAGGAGGGGAGAGAAAGAAGGGAGAGTGGTGGTGGATTGCAGAAGCTGCAGACTCTCAGCCGTAGAGATATGGAGGTTGTTCCTCCTTCATTAAATATTGGTCCACAGAAGGGGCAGAAGGGGCATGGGTGACCTTCCAGTCTGGGTGTTGACGTGCATGTAGCTTCCACTTGTATCCTGGAATGTCTTGTCTTCTGATGCAGCTCCTTGCTGAGAAGCCCTGTGAAGGAGGAAGTAGTGCTCTGTGTGACAGCTAAGGACAGGCACCCCCACCACCTGTGAGTGAGCCCTGAGATCAAACTAGTCCGGTTGGTTGAGCCCCAGGTGACAACAGTCACAGCCAGGACCAGGTGGACAAACACCACCCAGCTCACCCCAGGCAACCTAGAGTCATGATGTGAATAATGATGTTTGAAGACACCAGGTTCTGGTGACATGTATTATGCAGTAATAGAAAACCAGAACAGAACGTGCAACGTGCTGGCACGTTCTGCACAGCATCCCATCCTTTGGAAGGACCACACTGCACCACTCCAGGTGGTTCCTGACTCTTCTCCTTCCTACCCTTTCTGTCTCCTTTCCCATCATAAGTTGGTCCTTTTCTCAATCTTCCTAGAGTTTGTCTCTGGGACTGAAGGTGTTTGGAGCTGTCAGCTCAGGGGGTCTCCCTTGGACAATCTTGAGCGTTCGAAATGCCACGATTCTTTTCTCAAGGATGGCTGCTCCGTTCTCTTCGAGACCCCCTGCTAACAATTCTTCCCCTCCTCCATCTTTTGCCAATTATCACAAGTTAGTTTCTACCGTTTCCATCAAAGAGCCATTACTGACACAGAAATTGGTGTTAGGGAGGAAATCATAGGCCAGGTACCCCAAGGGAAATAGTGGGGTGGGGTGGGAACACATTATCATCTGGAAGGGGAGAGGTTGTAGATGTCACAGGGACTGGCTTTCATCATCTAGGGGAACATTAGCCCCTGTTTGAAAGAGATGAGCTGCTGATCAGTCTCCAGTGTGTGGTATCTGAGACATGGTTGTTGGACAGAGAAGAGGCAGAGGCTGAAATCTCAAAGTTCTTACCTGGTTACAGGACGATGCTCAGGTCTGTCTTTAAAAACCTCATTTTGGCTTCCAAGGGATGAATTCCAGAAAAGCAAACCCAGAGGGTGGATGAGCCTACTGATTGCTGTGCAGGCCAAGCTAAATTTGCTAGCACCACAATAAATACAGGGCCTTTGTTGGGAAAGAGAGGCATCACACCACTGGAAAGTCATTCCCTGGGAGATCTGGAGGACTAGAGAGCCCTGAAACCCACACCTCGAGGAAGCAGTTCCCACTGTGCCACCTTCGATGGCAGTGGGGAGGGGTGGGCAGCAGCTCCTGCACTGCAGCAGTAAGTTGATACTCGCCTGGTTGAACCGGCCAATCTGGGTTTTGAAATTTTGGATGTGTGGGAGAGAAGAATTTGGTCATGAAGAAATAAATGTTAGAGTGCAGAAACTTCTATCATAACAATCCTGGGGAATATTGTGGGAACGGATTTTGAAGATGCTCAGACAAAGATATGCCCTTGAGAAGATGAACTGACCTTGTGGGTCAGCACTCTGAAAAGCTTTGACCCCAAAGAATACCGAGCAGATGGTGGGTCATTTGCATTAAACACCATCCATCTTGGTAAGAACGGGGGGAGTGAGTGGATTCATGTTTACTTTTTACTATCCTGCCCGAGTCCCCATAACTGGGGCCCCTGATACCTCCCCATCGTCACACACCCCTCTCTGCACAGCATGGCTTCTGAGTGCAAGATACACAGTCCTGTGACAGGAGCTAAGCAATGGAAGGCCAAGAGGGTGACCGCTTACCCATGTGCTCCGCCACCTGGAAGCAGCCGGCTTCACATAACAGACACTGGGGCTCAGAACCACCCGGGGGGATGAGGGAAGATTTGGGCCAAACTTTCAAAAGAAGCCGGCTGACCAGCGGAGAGCCAGCCAAAGACGAGAGGAACACAGAAAAGTCATCGAAGGAGTGAAGTAATAAATGCTAACAATTACCCTGTAGTTAGGGTGCCAGGGGTTCCAACTGTATTTCTCTCCTTTTGTGTCCTATGATAATAATCACAATGGCAATAAAATGTCTTCCCTCTTTGTGACATGAGGATATGTTCACAGATTTCCCTGACCTCCAATGAAAAACAATTGGGACCCCAACCTTGACTCACTCCTCTCCTCACCCCCATGTTCAGCTGTCTGCATGCCTTGCGGGTGCATGTCAGAGGCCCCAGAGGACGTTGGTGGGATGTGGCTGCAGTGGCCTACAGATGCTGCTCCGCAATACACTGGGCCACTAGAGGGCGCTCTCCCTGGGGCTCCTGGCTTGCCAGCGGACCTGGAGACTGGGCTGGTTCCTAGCTGCAATTTACCAGCAGAATGACATGACAAGCATGTGCCTTGGCCATACTCAGAATGAATAATGCCTTCCTCCATGGGTGCTTTTGAAAAACAGTGGAAACCATAGTGAAAAGAGGTTGGCCAAGGCATGCCCCGGAGCTAGGGCTCAGGAAATAGCTGCAACTATATTCTACAAGCAGGCTGCAAAGGGAGGGTGCCACAGGCCCCCTATGGAGGCATCTACTGATGCCGTTACGTGCTGGCTCTGGCTCACACCACTGGACTGTTTCACAGAGCTCTACTCACCAAGGCACTGGAATGTCTGAGCATCCAGGGGACAGCTCTTTTGCACAGCTGTCCCTATAAGAAGCCCACGGTGGCCATCCTACAGAGAGGCATGCTCTTGCAGCCATTCTGATGCTTTTCTTGCTGTGCACTCTTTCTTTGAAAAAAAAAAGTGTGTGTGTGTGTATTAGACATCAGTGGACTTTTATTTTATTCATTATTTATGTACAGTGCTGAGAGTCAAACCCAGTGCCTCACACTTGCTAGGCAAGTGCTCTACCACTGAACCACAACCCACAGCCCCTGTGTACTCTTTCTTGATTCCTAGGACATCCTGATGCTCTTCAGGCAGGCCATGTCCAGATTCTGTGTGGCTCCTACTGGGAATCCCTGGCTTGCCCCAGACCCAAAAGGTCCTGGGAAACCCAGATTCTGGATGGGAGCCCAAAGAAAGCCCACCCACCAGAACCCGTGCCTTTCTTGGCAACAGATCAGGCGGGACCTCTGCAGGGTTCCAGGGTTCATACTCAGAGGGATCCTCCTGCACAGTATGCCACTCCAGCTCCGACCACCAGGGGGCAGAGAGACAGCCAATTTCAATTTAGAAGGAAAGGGGAGAAATAGCTTAGGATCTGCATTTGATATGCGTTTGTGTCCAGATGCTAGAGTTTCATAAATGATTTTGAAAAAATAAATTGTGCCATGCCCCATTATTCCAAAAGAGGAGAAAACACACTAAACCAAATTTTGAAGAATTACAGACCTTATTATTAAATTTAGAAATGCCCTCTCATGGGGATGCCTTGTTCATTTTATATGTACACTTCATTTGGTTGTTTTGTGATTGTGATTTGAAAAAAAAAATTATTATGGAAAACATAGGGCAGAAAAGTTATGAATTATCTATATTCCTACCACCCAGAGATAAGTTAGGTTACTATGTATTTTCAGAATTCTATTAAAACAAACATGTATTGAAGTGACGTCTATCAGTGTATACTGTATTATAATCTGCTTTTTCCCTTTAAAATAGGTCATTAGAGCCTAGCATGGTGGTGCACATCTGTAATCCAAGCAACTCAGGAGGCTGAGGCAGGAAGATCACAAGTTGGAGGCCAGCCTCAGCAATTTAGTGAGGCCTTAAGCAACTTAGTGAGACCCTGTCTCAAAATAAGAGGGCTGGGGATGTGGTAAAATGGTAAAGCCCCTCTGGGTTCAAATCCCAGTACCAAATAAATAAATAAATAAATAGATAGATAGATAAAATTGGTCATTAGTCTCTTGATATGATTAAATAGCCTTCCACAACATCAATTTTAAAGGTCACCTAGCATCTCATGGTTGTGCCACAAATTATTAACCAGTCACTACTTATTAATTTATTTTTACACATTTTTATTGGTGCATTAGAGTTGTGCATACACGGGGATTGTTGTTACATATTCACACATGTACACAATATAATTTGGCCAATATCACTCCCCAGCACGTTGTTCCCCACTCTCTCCCCTACTCCCAGCCCTTTGGTCCCTTTCCTCTACTGATCTCCCTTTGACTTTCATGAAATCTACACCCACCTTTCTTTTCCTTTTTCCTTTCTAGCTTCTGCATATGAGAGAACACATATGCCCCTTGACCTTCTGAGTTTGACTTATTTTGCTTAACATGATGATCTCTAGATTTATCCATTTACCTGCAAATGACAAATTTCATTTTTTTGTGGCTGAATTAAATTTCATTGTGTATATATACCACATTTTCTTTATCCATTCAACCACTGATGGACACGTAGGCTGATTATACAACTTGGCTTTTGTAAAATGTGCCACAATAAACATGAGCATGTATATATCTCTACAGTGTGATGACTTAAATTCTTCAGGATAAATATGGAGGAGTGTTATAGCTGGGTCATATAGTGGTTCCATGTCTAACCTCCATACTGATTGGCATAGTGGTTAGACTAATTTACAATTCCAGTAACAGTGTAAAAGTGTTCTTTTTCCGCCACATCCTTTCTAGCATTTATTATTATCTGTATTCTTGACAACTGCCATTCTAACTATTGTAAAATAAAAACTCAATGTAGTTTTGATTTGCATATCCCTAATGGTTAATGACGTTGAACATCTTTTCATATATATATCAGCCATTTGTGTTTATTCTTTTGAGGAGTGTCTGTTTAATTCATGTGTCCATTTATTAATTGTGTTATTTGATATTTTGGGTGTAGATATTTTTAATTCATTATTCTAGATAGTAACCCTCTGTCAAAGGAGTAGCTAGCAAAGATTTTCTGCCATTCTGGGGGTCTCCCTTCACATTCCTAATTCTTTCCTTTGCTGTGCAGAAGCTTTTTTAAATATTTATTTTTTAGGTTTTTAAAAAATATTTATTTATTTTTTAGGTGAACACAATGTCTTTATTTTACTTTATGTGGTGCTGAGGATCAAACCCAGGGCCTCACACGTGCTAGGCAAGCACTCTACCACTGATCCACAATCCTAGCCCAAGAAGCTTTTTAATTCAATACCACTTCATGTATTCACTCTTGACATCATTTCCTGAGCTTCAGGGTTCTTATTGAGAAAGTCATTGCCTGTGCCTGTCGGCTGGAGTATTGATCCTACATTTTCTTCTAGGTATAATTCATGGTCTAATTCCTAGGTCTTTGATCAATTTCGAGCCAATTTCTGTGCAGGGTGGGATATGTATGGATAACCAGTTTTCTAAGCACCATTTGTTTAAAAGGTGTCATTTCCCCCAGAATGTGTTGTTGACACATTTGTCAAGAATCAGACAGTCATGTGTAAATGTGTGGCTTTGTCTCTGGTCTTCAGTGCTATACTGTTTAAAGTCAGCTCTTTCATTGGTATGACTAAAAGACCTGACTAGAACAATTTTGGAGGAGGAAAAGTTTATTTGAGGGTTGATGGTTTTAGAGGTCTCAGTCCATACACAGCTGGCTCCATTTCTTGGGACAGGAGGTAACATTATGGCAGAAGAGTGTGGCAGAGGGCTTCCGTCCACATGATAGAAAGTAGAGAGAGACTAGGCTCAGCTCACCAAATATATACCCCAAAGGCATGCCCCCAATGACCCACCTCCTCCACCCACACCCTACGCACTCAGTTAATCCCAACAGGGGATTAATTCACTGATTGGGATAAGACTTTCATAACCTAACAATTTCACTTCTAAGCCTTCTTGCATCATCTCACACATGAGCTTTTGGTGAACACCTGACATCCAAACCATAACATGTACCATTGGTCTATTGCCTGTTTTTATGCCAGTGCCATCCAGTTTTTTCTCTGTAGTATAATTTAAAGTCAGGTATTGTGATGCCTTTCAGCATTTCTTTTTTAAGCTTGGAATTGCTTTGGATACTCTGGGTCTTTTATTCTTCCAAATTAATTTTAAGACTTTTTTTTCCCCTCTAGTTCTGTGAAGAATGCCATTGTTACTTTGATGAGGGATTGCATTGTATCTGTATATTGCTTTTGGTAGTATGGCCATTTTAACAATGTTAATTCTGCTTATCCATGAATATGGGAGATCTTGCCATCTTCTGAGGTCTTCCTCAATTTCTTTCTTCACTATTCCCTAGTTTTCATTGTAGAGACCTTTCACCTCCTTGGTTAGATTTATTTCTAGATATTTTTTTAGGCTATTGTGAATGGAATTATTTTCCTGATTTCTTTCTCAGCAGATTTATTGTTGGTACATAGGAAAGCTATTGAGTTTTGTATATTGATTTTGAATCTCCTATTCACTCTGCTGAATTTGTTCATGAGCTCTAGCAGTTTTTTACAGTGATAATTTGAATTCTTTCTTTCCTTTTTTTATCCATTTTATTTCCTTATTGTTTTTATCAACTTTTCACTATTGCAACCAAAAGACCTGGTTAAAACAATTATAGAGGAGGAAAGGTTTATTTGGCTCTCAGGGTTTTAGAGGTCTTAGTCTGTGTATGTAGCTGGTTCCATTGCTCTGGGCCCTTGGTGAGGCAGAACATCATGGCAAAAGAGTGTGGCAGAGGAAAGCAGCTCGGGACGTGGCACCAGAAAGGAGAGAGAGAGAGAGAGAGAGAGAGAGAGAGAGAGAGAGAGAGAGAGAGAGACTTTTCTCACTACAGACAACACAGACACCAGAAAATCATGCCCCAATGACCCACCTCCTCCAGCCACACCCTACTTACCTACAGTTATCATTCAGTTAGTCCCTATCAGGGGATCAGTTCACTTGATTAGGTTAAGATGCTCATAATCCAATCATTTTACCTCTAAACATTCTTGCATGGTCTCATACATGAGCTTTTGGGGGTCACCACATAACTAAACCATAACACTTCTTTTGCAGAAATGCTCTGGTTAGAATTTCTAGCACTATATTAAATAGAAGTGGTGAGAGTGGACATCCTTCTCTTGCCCCAGATTGTAAAGGAAATGCTTTCAGATTTTCCCCATTTACTATGAGGAAATTGGCTTTTGTTTTTCACTTACAGCCTTTATGATCTTGACACAGATCTCTTCTATCCCTAGTTTCTTTGCTGCTTTCATCATGAATGGGGTGCTGAAAGGCCTTCTCTGCATCTGTTAAGAAGACTGAGTGATCTTTGTCCTTAATTCTAGTTATGTGACGAATTAACATTTATTGATTTGTGAATCAAGGTTTCATTCCTTGTATCTCTGGAATGAAATCGACTTATTGTGGTGTACAATCTGCTTAATATATTGTTGAACATAATTTACTAACATTTTATGAAGTTCTTTTTTTGTTTTGTTTGTTACCAGGGATTGAACTCAGGGGCACTTTACCACTGAGCCACCTACCCAACCCCCTCCTTTAAAATTTTTTTTTTTTTTTGAGACAGGGTCTCAATAAGTTGTTTATGACTTTGCTAAATTGCTGAGACTGGCCTCAATCTTCTGCTCAACCTCCTGAGTTGTTAGGGTTTCAGGCATGTACCACCCCATCTGAATTTTTTTATAATTTTTTTAGTTGTAGATGAACACAATATCTTTGATTTATCTATCTATCTATCTATTTATATGTGGTGCTAAGGATCAAAGCTAGTACCTCATGCATGCAATCGAGGCAAGAGCTCAACCACTGAACTATAACCCCAGCCCCTGACCCTGCTTTTAATAAGTATTTTTGCATCTATGTTCATCAGGGATACTGGTCTGTAGTTTTCTTTCCTTGATGTGTCCTTATTTGATTTTGGCATGAGTGAGATACTGGCCTTATAGAATGAATTTGGAAGTGCTCCGTCCCTTTATATTCCGTGAAATAACGAGGAATACTGGCATGACTCCTTTAAAGGTCTAGTAGAATTCAGTTGATAATCCATCTGGCCCCGGGCTTTTCTTTGTTGAAAGGTTTTTTATTACTGCTTCAATCTCATTAGTAGTTATTGTTCTGTTTAGGTTTTCTTTGTCCTCTTGATGCAGTTTTAACAGACGGTATTTGTCTAGAAATGTATCTATTTCTTGGAGGTTTTCCAATTTAATGGAGTCTAAGTTTTCAAAATAGCCCCTAATGATCTGCTGGATTTCTGAGATGTCTGTGGTGATTTCTCCTTTTTCAAATCTAATTCTATTAATTTGGGACTTCTCTTTTTTCTTTTAGTTAGTTTGCTAAGGGCTTATCAGTCTTGTTTGTCTTTTTCAAAGAACCAACTCTTTGATTCATTGATCCTTTGTATTTTTTTAATTCTCGAGTTCATTGATTTTGGCTCTGATCTTACTTATTTCCTTCCTTCTACTGGTTTTGGAATTGGTTTGTTCTTTTTCAAGGGCCTTGAGATGCATCATTAGGTTGTTTTTTGGGGACCTTTCTGATTTTCTTATGTAGGCACTCAGAGTATAAACCTTCCTCTTAGAACCACCTTCATAGTGTCCCAGAGGTTCTGGTATGTTGTGCCACTATACTCATTTGAGTCTAAGAATTTTTTAATCTCTCCCTTGATTTCTTCTATCACTCATTCATCATTCAAAAGAGTATTGTTAAATCTCCACGTTTATATAGTTTTTGTAGGTCTTTGTTACATTGATTTCTAATTTCATTCTATCATGATCTGATAAGACACAAAGAATTATATCAAATTTTGTATTTGCTAAGATTGCTTTGTGGCTTAAAATGTGACCTTTTTTGGAGATGGTTCCATGAGCTGCAGAGAAGAAATGTATTCAGGTGTCATTGGATGAAATATTCTATAGATGTCTGTTAATTCATTTGATATATTTTTCATGTTCAAAGAGTCTTACTGAGTTTATGTCTGGATGACCTATCTAATGGTAAGAGACATGTTGAAATTATCCAGTATTATTGTACTGGGGTCTATCCAAGGTTTCAATTCCAGAACTGTTGTTTTTTTTTTTTTTAATGTAAGTTGTAATACCCATGTTTGGGCATAAATATTTATTATTGTTATATATTCTTATTGTATTGTACCCTTTACCAGTATAAAGTGACCTTCTTTGTCTCTTCTGATTAATTTTGGTTTAAAATCTCCTTTGTGAGATATGAGAGTAGCTACTCCTGCTTGTTTTCAGGCTCCATTCATAAGGGATGTCAATCTCCATCTTTCACTCTGAGCCTGTGGCTTTCTTTGCCTATAAAGTGTGTCTCTTGCAAACAATATAAAATTTGGTCTTGTTTTTCAATCCATTCTAACAGTGTATGTCTTTTAATTGAAGAGTTGACACCATTTACATTCAATGTTATTTTAGAGAGATGTTTATTAATTTCTGCCATTTTGATTTATTTATCATGTTTAATTTTGTCCTGTTTCTCATTTGCTTAGTTACTCACTCTTCAAATAAGATTTCTTTTTTTCATTTGCTAACTGTGGGGTTTGTTTTTTATTTCTTCTGTAGTGTTGGTTTACACTTGATCTTAGCCAAAAGGCCGAGAAGCGATGTGTGTAGTGTTGGTTTAGTGGTCATGAAATCTTTTAGTTTCTGCTTATCTTGAAAGGTTTTTATTTGTCTTTTAATAATGAAGGATAGCTTTGCTGGATATAGCAATCTTGGTTGACAGTTATTTTCTTTCAGGACTCGGAACACTTCATGCCAAGCCCTAGGCCATATGGCAGGTGCTTGCCAGGATAGCATGGCAGTGTTTGCTATGATCCTCCAGCTCCTGTAGCATCAACTGCAGTGTGTCCACCTCAAGATGGCTTCCACCTCAGCTCTCCCTGTCAATTGGATAACAGCACTTTTTAAGCACCAGTGCACAGTGCAGACTCTGTCTGTATCAGCTAAGTTCAGTCTGCTTTTCTGGACTCAGGTTTTTCCATACTACATCTATCCATTGTGTTTCTCTCTGTGTTCTCCCTCCCTATGTGGTGAACCAGTGAGCTAGCATTGCTGCAGCTGCTGTTAAAACTAGCTTGGCTCCAATGTTTTCTTTCTCCTTTGTTTAATGTACCCAAATTTCTGAGTCTGTAAGACACTCAGATTGTTCAATATTGAGATTTCATGAAATCCCTCTTTCACCCCTTCACTCCTCCTGCTGCTTAGATCCTGAGGCATGGAGCAACTACTCCACCATCTTAAATCTCAGTTCGTATTTATAATGTTCACTATTATAAACAGGTCTGTGAGGACTGGGGATGTAGCTCAGTGGTTAATGTAGCATGTGCAAGGCTCTGGGTTCAATTCCCAGCACTGAAAAACATGTGAAAAATCTTTCTAGTTATTTGTAAAAATTTCCTTCTGTATTTCTTTCTTTTTTATATACATTTATTTTATCTATTTATTTTTATGTGGTGCTGAGGATCAAATCCAGGGCCTCACACATATGAGGCCATAACCCCACCTCTTCTGTAATGATTTCCTAAAGATGCATTATTGGAAGTGGAACTGCTGATCAGTGGATTTTAATTCATAAATACCAAATTGTACTGATGTTTATCCTCACTAGCAAAAACCTCATTAGCATAGAGTGTTGCTAATAAAAATCTTTTTCAATTAGAGATAAACTGTTTTAACATATATTTACTGCTAATAAGGCTGAACATTTTTTCATGTGTTTATTGGTCATTTATTTTTCTTCTGTGAGTGATCCATATCCTTTTCTGATTTTAGTGGTTTATTTTTCTAATTATTATAATTCTTGCTCCATTTTTGCTCAATAATATATTAATCTTTTGTCATATATATTGAATAACTTTGTATTTGAAATCCCATTCTTTGTAATATCTGTCTTGGATAAGTTTACATTTTTAATCTACAAGATTACATAAAAATCTATTAGACACAGGGTCTCTAGTTTAACTCCTAGGTCCTTGATCCACTTTGAGTTGAGTTTTGTGCATGGTGAGAGATAGGGGTTTAATTTCATTTTGTTGCATATGGATTTCCAGTTTTCCCAGCACCATTTGTTGAAGAGGCTATCTTTCCTCCAATGTATATTTTTGGCACCTCTGTCTAATATAAAATAATTGTAATTTTGTGGGTTAGACTCTGTGTCCTCTATTCTGTACTGTACCATGGGTCTACCAATCTGTTTTGGTGCGAATATCTGCTGTTTTTGTTACTATTGCTCTGTAGTTTTACTATTGTCTGATGTAGTGATGTCACCTTCTTTACTCTTCCTGCTAAGGATTGCTTTAGCTATTCTGGGTCTCTTTATTTTTCCAGATGAATTTCATGACTCTTTTTCTATTTCTATGAGGAATTTCATTGGGATTTTGATTGGAATTACATTAAATCTGATAGTTCTTTTGGTAGTATGGTCATTTTAATAATATTAATTCTGCCTATCCAAGAGCAAGGTAGATCTTTCCATCTTCTAAGGTATTCTTTGATTTCTTTCTTTAAGACTCTATAGTTTTCATTGTATAGATCTTTCACCTCTTTTGTTAAGTTGATTCCCAACTTTTTTTGAGGCTATATTTTAAATGGGGTAGTTTTCCTCATTTTGCTTTCTGAGGATTTGTCACTGATATACATAAATGCCTTTGATTTATGGGTGTTGATTTTATATCCTGCTACTTTGCTGAATTCATTTACTAGTTCTAGAAGTTTTCTGGTGGAACTTTTTGGGTCTTCTAGGTATAGAATCATATCGTCAGCAAATAGTGCTAATTTGAGTTCTTTTCCTATGCATATCCCTTTAATTTCTTTCGTCTTGTCTAATTGCTCTGTCCAGTATTTCAAGAACTGTGTTAAATAGATGTGGTGAAAGAGGGTATCTCTGTCTTGTTCCAGTTTTTAGAGAATGCCTTCAATTTTTCTCCATTTAGAATGATGTTGGCCTGGGGCTTAGCATAGATAGCCTTTATGATGTTGAGATATGTTCCTGTTATCCCTAGTTTTTCTAGTGTTTTGAACATGAAGGTGTGCTGTATTTTGTCAAATGCTTTTTCTACATCTATTGAGATGATCATATGATTCTTATCTTAAAGCCTATTGGATGTGATGAATCACATTTATTAATTTCCATATGTTGAACCAGCCTTGCATGCCTGGGATAAACCCCACATGATCATGGTGCACTATCTTTTTGATATGTTTTTGTATTCGATTTGCCAGACTTTTATAGAGAATTTTTGCATCTATGGTTTTTCTGTATCACACAACCCACTGGAAAGGGCTGCTCTTTCTTCTCTGAGTCATCCCTATAAACCATATTTGGGCTCTTCAGGCCATGGTGAGAACACCTTGTCAAATAGGACCAGGGGGCCAGGTCAGAAGGAAACATTCTATAACCGTATCTCGGTTAGCATCTCTCTTATTGAACAAAACAAGGCCCTTCCATAAAATGATGCTATATAATTTAACTGCCAATAATAATAATGACTAACAACATTTACACAATTTTTGCCTAACACTTAGAATTTACCATACTGTTTTGTAAGCACATTGTGATATCTAGATAGATAGATATTTACACTAGATATACACATTTACAGGATAATACTGTAATTACATATGAGGAAACCAAAGCTCAGAAATGTTAAATAATTTGCCCACACAGTTCGTAAGAGGCAAAGCCAGGATTTGAAGCCAGGCAGTCTAGTCCCAGCTCTGTACTCTTAACCCCATACTATATTGAAAAGAAGAAAAAGCTAGGGAAAGAAAGGTGACAGGAAGGTGAGGCCCTGGACAGGCTTCTATGGATGTACCACGTGTTGACATATATGCCTGCCTTCTGTCCTCCCCAGCAAAGGACTTGCTACCTCCATAGGGTCTTGAATCTGCTTGGCAGAGGCTGCCCTTGGCCAGCACTGCTCAGTTCCTGTTATGCCCTTAGTCTAAGGCTACTCCCTCTGAAGCTGTTTCTGGAAACCAGAATCAGACCCTGGAGTAGGCATGATCTTTAGATTTGGACTCTGGTGAGTATTTCTGAGAACTGGCTCTGGGTCACTTTCCTAAGCTGAGAGGAACCAGGGTTGGCTGCTAGATGCCTTGCCTGTACACAGAGGTGCCAGAGAATGCTCTCTCTCAGAGAACAATCTTACCTCCTTTGTAACCAAGTGGATGCCCTGAACGCCCTCATAGGCAGGGCCAGCACAGGCCCATGTGGCCACATGGGCCTCAGCCCTCCAAGAGTGGGTCCTGAATATACTTTAGTGAAGTAATTGTCCAAACTTAGGTACCTATGTCCTAGGAAGGAATGTCTATGAATGTTTGGTATTTTGGGGTGTTATAATTTATTTAAAGAAAAAAATTTTTATTTTATTTTATATAAGTGGCTTTTCTTCACCAGTCTGCAGGCAAACGTTTGCACGATCAGATACATGTCCTTGGCTACAGAGACAGCCTCCTCCTCCAGCACAATGCCCTTTTCCAGCAGAGCTGGTGCCAAGGGGTGTTTTCCTCCCTCTCTGCCATCTATGAACCAGCCACTTCAAGGGATGATTTCCAACCTGCCCTGCCCTGCCATGTCCTGGTCTCTGGGACAGGGCCAGGGGGAAGCTATTTGTCCCGGTCTCTTCCAATCCCCAAATGAGGCCTGATATTTTACACACTCCTTCAGACCCACCTTACACCTTAGCAAGGCCAGTTTTCATTTATGTCAGGGGATCCTCTGAGTGCAAGTCCTCAGTGGTGTAATAACCGTCAATGGCATGGCCAACTATGCCATGGTTTCTATGCTGAACCTGTGTGTTAGTGTGCTGAAGGGACCTGGCCAGGGGGCAGCTCTCCACCCTGGTCAGGGCAGGTCAGTCACCATCCAAGTCTCCCTATGCCATCTCTAGAAGTAGGGGGTCATGGGGAATTCGGGAGGTCTGCTAGTCCCTCAGGTTCTGAGAATGACCCATGGCACCTCAGTTCAGGGCCCAATGTGGTAGGAGGAAAATCACTCTCCTCCCCTGCCCTAGCCCACCATGAAAGGTTGTCAAGTGGAAGGCCCAGGAGGGCAGTCTCGGGATACTGAAGTCATGGCTGCCTAGGTGAAGAAACAGTGGCAGAGGGCCCTATGGCTTGGGGAGGCTGATTCCAGGACAGGGTACTGAGAAGCCATGCCTGCATTCCCTCCCACCTTCTGCTGGCTCAGCAGAAAGCCACTTATCCCCTACAACAAGAGCCCCAGCAGGGCAAGAGGCCAAGTCTACATGGCCCCAGTCCTGTTCCCCTACTTCCCAGGGCCTCTGTTTACACCAACACCACATCCCATTTCACATAGGCCATCTTTTTTTCTCTACACTGTTCTCAAGAATCCACACCAGAAGACATGGGCAGGTAAGTAGGGCCACCCCAGCTCTAGGAGGCCGAGAGGGTCCTCAGGATACTGTTTCTGCTATAGAACAGGGATGTTCAACAGGCAGATGGTCTAGGGAGCCTTGTTGGAGGAGGTGAAGGCCCTGTCTTATGCTGGTCTCATGTCCCTTCGGGATCCCCTCCTTTCCCTTTACTTCTCCAACTTCATTCCTGATCTCCTGAGAATATCCCCTATAGCACCTGATTCTCATTTTATATAAAGGAGATTGAGACACAGAAGTCAGGCAATTTGCCCCATACACCAGTCCTGGCCTTGCATCCCCAACCAGCCTGTATTTTTCTGCCTCCAGAGAGCCAACTCTGCCATGAGGAGGGCACCCTCTGCTAGGCATTTCAGGAACACTGGGGCCTCAGAAAGGCAGTGCCCGGGTCCTAAGTGTGGGCAGCCCATTCTACTTTATGACTTCTGCTGGGTCCTTACTTCCTGCAGTTTTCAGATGAGGGAACAGCCTCAAAGGGCAGGTAGTTAGTTGACCAAGATCCCAAGGTGTTGAGAGAAGGGTGGGGACCAAAACTAGTGCTCTGGGCTTCCAGTTGGGTCACCTCTGGTGCCAGCCAGTGAGCCTGATACCTTACCCTGCCTCCTCCTCTGCTCACCCCAACACTAGCCCTAACAAAACCTACACCTCTTGTGTAAGATGTTTCATGCCTGGGCCTGTGAATGCAGAAATGGGAAGCACGGGGATATCACAGCAGATATCAGGGCAAGCGAGAAAAACAACTGTCAGCTCTGGTGCCTCTGTTTCTTCGCTGATGCAGCCAGTGCCTACAGGACTGGTTCCCCTTCTGCTCCCTGGCCATTCCCAGCATGCTCATGATGTTCATTAAGTGGTGGGCCTATGAGATTGGAGCTTCCTCATGGGTATGTGAAAGAATACAGGGTGGGTAACAGTTTGACGGCAGCTCACCAAGCTCAGAAGCCCCCTTCCCAGGATAAGTAGTTCACCAACCCAGGGCCCAGCAGGGGACCTTAGCTGGAGATGTATCTGTCCTTGCTGGTCCATCTCCCCATTAGGCTGTAAACACCCAGGATGAAGACCTTGGCCTTCCTGCTGAATCCCAGAATGGGCCTGGCATTGAGTGGGCACTGGGAAGTGACCAAGTCATTGGAGAAGTGAGAGACTGAACAAACCCTTAGGGCGTGTGCATGGTACTCAAGGCTTGACAGGTTTGGGGCCTTTGTCTAGTGCCTTCCATGTGTGGAGTCAGCCTGAGGTCAGAAGGCAAAGGCTGGAATGGCCTAGAGACACTATCTATTCCAACCTCTGTCCCCCATTTACAGATGAGCAAACCAAGCCCCAAGAATGAGAGAAGTAGTTCAGACGTCCACAGAAAATCCATGGCAGAGGGCTGGGATTATGGCTCAGTGGTAGAGTGCTCACCTAGTATGCATGAGGCCCTGGGTTCGAACCTCAGCACCACATATGTGTAAAATAAAGATATTGTGTCTGCCTAAAAAACTAAAAAATAAATATAAAAAGAAAAAAGAAAAAAAGAAAACTCAAGGCAGGCACAAGACCAGAACTCAGGTTGTCTTGACTCTTGGCTTATTCTCCTTTCCTCCCTGGCCATGCCACATGCACAGAGGAGTTTATCTGAAAAGACAAACCATGCAGGTTGTAGCCTGTGGGGAGTTCCAGAACTGGGTAGCGTTTTCCTGGCAGGCCAAACAAAAACATCCTTTTCTTGTTATTGTTGCAAATCTGCCCTTCAAAGCCATGTTTGTTCCTAAGCAGAGGAGCACTATCAATCCAGCATCTGGGCATCTCCTGGTGTCTGGGGCGTTGGTGGGCAGGGTGCTGTCTCGTGTTATCTTAGGCCCAGGCTTGTTCTGCCTGATGGATCTCTCCATCCAGGCCTGCAAGGTGGCCACATTACCTATGAATCCCCTAATGGCATGCCTGCCCTCATCCTCCACCTGACTGCCTAAATGTGCCACAGGAGGGTGCAAGCTGTCATCCCAAAACCTATTTCTGTCACCCAAGGGACCCAGGCCCACCAGACCCAGTCCCTGCTTGACTGATAGCAAGGATCACACACAGAGGCCGACAGTCAGTCCACTGAGAGAGATATCCATTCACAGATGTCAGAATTAAAGCATTACTTAAAAACGGAGAGATTTTACATTATAATCTGAATTTCTGTATTGTCTTGAAAGATGGAACATGTCATTCATACCTTAGGTATTGAAAGCAGGGTTGGGACCAAAACTAGTGTTATGGGCTTCTAGTTGGGTCACCTCTGGTGCTTGCCTTGTCAGGTATCAGGCTCCTATGCATTACAGTTGGTCTAAGCTGAGTGATAGCACCCCTAAAGGGCAAAAGACTCTCCACCACAGTTGCAAGAGCTGGATTATCTTCTGCCTTAGGTGTGGCCCATGTCACTTATATAGGCATCTGCCGGCCTTCTGAAAGCCATCTGTGTCTGTAAACCCTTTAAACAAAGTATTCAGAAAAATCTATACTTAGACTATCAATTTATAGGGCTGGGGATATATATGTAGAGTGCTTGCCTAGTATGCAAAAGGCCCTGAGTTCCATGCCCAGCACTGCAAATAATAATGATAATGAAAATAATTTATAAGGTGATCCTTTTTTAAAAAATCATTTTTTAGTTGTAGATAGACACAATGCCTTTATTTTATCATTTTTATGTGGTGCTGAAGACCAAACCCAGGGCCTCACACATGCGAGGCAAGTGCTCCATCACTGAGCCATAACCCCAGCTCAGGTGATTCTTTTTTCACAAATGGTTCCATTGAAAAATTTTTTTCCTTACCAGGAGCTTTTTTGGTCTACTTAAGGCCAAATTCACTTTTTTTTTTTTTTTCATTTTAATGATTGTTCTTTTTTTGTAACTTTATGTGGTGCTGAGGCTCAAATCCGGTGACACACATGCTAGGCAAGCGCTCTATCGCTGAGTCACAAACCCAGGCCCCACAGTCACTTCTTTAAAATCCAGTTACTCATTTGATTTTCGTATCACACTGATTTCAGTTGCAAGGTTAGCCTGCCTTGATGTCCCAGATGGAATGGGTGGCTTATGTGGGATAGTCTCAACCCTTCTCCCAGTCCCAGATATCATTTGCTCGTTGTCAGCAACCATGAATGCCATCTCCTCACGTCCATCTTGACTCCTGGTCTCCTCTGTCTGGGCCCAGGCTGGAAGGCTGCCCTGCACTCCACCTCTGGCCTCTTCCTGGTTCAGGAATCCACCCCTTCCCAGAGGCTGGAGGGTAGCTTCATAACACCTCTTTACATGGGATCTCAGATTCCCATGGGGCTCAGCATCATGGTCTGTATCCACTCTGGGAGCTACAGATGCTGCACAAGCAAAGCGGTCTAGCTTTCTGGGACATAATCTACACAGAAGTCCTCTCTTGGTGAACCCTGGAATGCTGGAATCTGCTGAATTAAGGGCCTGGGTCAGGGAATGGCCCAACATGTGGGAGTCAGGGCTATCCCTGGGAGCTGGCAGTTAGACCTTCCAAACCAGCTGCACTAGCCATTTGACCCAGAGCTGCCACTCCCTGCACAGCAAACATCTTTCCTGCCCACTTTGTTCCCTTTTCACTAACTCCTCCCTGGCTTCTGGGATTCTCCTGGAGACTGGCTTAGATAAAAAGCATGGCTCATTAATGGTCCTTCCTCCCTGGCACTCAGCTTCCACTGTCCAGGTTCATTCTGTAAGCCTGGGACCTTCCAGCATCCCCACAAGATTGAGGCCTGATTGCCCCAATCCCACAATGAGCTACTTCATGTCCTCCTACATCAAAGGCTCTGCTTTCAGAGACAGGCACATTCCAACCAGCTCCTCTGTGGGAAGCAGTGGTTCTGGAGCTTTAACCTAAATCCCCTGGAGGACTGGGGTCACAGATAGCTGGGCTTCACCTGGCAGAGTCTAAATCAGTAGGTTAAAGGTGAGGTCTGAGACTCTGCATTTTTAACAGGTTACCAGGTGCTGCTGCTAGTCCAGGAATTCCCACCCGTGCAGGAAAACATAGCCTATATAGTGCCTGTCCTGCAAATAGGTATCTAACCCAAATGAATGAGTCTCATGCAAGACAATTGGACCCTGTGACCAAAGGTTCCTGGGTGCAGCAGGACCAGGGTGATCCCTTTACTGATGGCTCCTCCACTGATTGGGATCCGTCAACACTGTTGCTTTTGCCTCTTCCAGTTGGCATTTTCCTGGTTAATTTAGTAATTCAATCTACTTATTTATTGTAAATCTATTTGGATTTTGTTTCTCTATTTGAATTAGTTTAATAATGTCTTTCTAAGAACATATTCATTTAAACCAAATTGACAACTTCTTCGGCATAAAGTTGCTCCTAATATTCCAATGCTTTTCTTTAGGATCAGTAGTGACATCCTCTCTTTCATTCTTAATTTTGGTAATTTGTGTCCTACTTTTTGTTTTCTTGGTCTTATGTTACTAAGGTCAAATCCTCGCTGTTTTTCAATTTTATGGATCTTATCAAAAAACTAACTTTTGGAGGCTGGGGTTATAACTCAGTGGTAGAGTACTTGCCTAGCATATGTGAGGCACTGGGTTCGATCCTCAGAACCACATTAAAAAAAGAGAAATAAAAGGTATTGAGTCCGTCGATCATCATATATATATATATATATATCAATGAAACCAAACCAAAAGAACTAACTTTTGGAAGGATCCAACATGGCGGCGGGCGGAGAGGCAGCGCTTTCAATACCCCCTCAGTGATGGGGTCTGAAAGACGCATAGATAACGCTTAGATTCTACTTGCGGAGAATCTCCTAGCAAAATTCCACTGAAGAGAGACCGGCCGTGAGTTACTAGGATTTTTGGAAATAACAGTTTGCCCAGACGAGTGAATCCCTGCCACAAGACGCAGAGGTCCAGATCCGCCAGCCGCTGTCCGCGCGCCGTGGTGCGCCTGCCCGCCCGCCAGCCCGCAGCCACCGTGACTGGGTGGCTAGACTCCGAGACGCAGCTTGGCAGGAAGAGGTCTTTAGCCAAACCTTCATGAAATAGCGAGCCGGGAGCTCAGGCCAACAGGGGACGGACCAGTCCCACCCCTCCCTTCGGACACTCCGGCAAGGAGCCTGGGGCCCGCCATAGCAGAGAGGTGACGTCATCGAAGTTCGGCTGACGGAATTCATTCCCAGCGGAATCCACTTTAGCAGGTGTGTGACTCCCACCCCAGCCAGATACAAGCAGCCAGGAAACCTCAGGGATCTCTCCGGGGGCGTGTCTGTAGGGAAGCAGAGGGGATTCCCGACCCCCAACCTCCCATATCACCAGCGGAGATTACCAAGGTCTTAGCCGCCAGTTTACCACAGCACTGGGGCTTAAATGGGACGCGCGGTGGGGCTGCAAGTGTAACTAGATCTCTGGGGAACCGCTTCTGGTGAACAGGACCTGGCTGGCTGGCTGACAGGAGGAAGGGGGGGGGAAGGGCCGGAGAAGTGAAACGGCTCTGGACTGACAAGACTGAGAGTCTTCCAGGAGCCGCCTTACAGGGATTGCTATCAGCACGCAGAGGGCAGAAGCTCCGCTCGGAGGGCACAGCTCCGCCTACTGGAAGAGAAGAAAATGGATCTCTAAGACTTCAATTTTTTTTTCCTCTTCTCTCTCTGTTCCTTTCTCCCCTTTTCCTTCTTTCTTTCTTTCCCGTTTCAAGTTTTATTGTTCTTTTCATTCTCCTCTATCTCTCTCTCCTTCTTTCTTTTTAAGAGCACCTTCATTCCCCTACCCCCCAACTTTCATCCCAAGCATTACGTCTTCCATTACGTGTAATTGTCTAAATGCAAATAGGTGAATGTTTCGAGGCTGTCTATAGGGCTCCTAAATACCTAGCTACTACCAACACCCTGACCCAATTGCCTGTTAGTATCCACCTTCAGTAGAGCAATCTTCTAAAGTAGCCAAGACATACTAACCTTCATACCATCATAGCACCTAACCTAAACATAAAGTCCTAAGAACAAACAACAAATCACTATATGCATACAGAACCTGGAAGCCTTTTATGAATTGAATGAATCAGCTTTAAAGTACAATAAAGCCCAACATTTCTAGGCATAATTTCCCACCACAAAGGAGAGACAACAGAGATATACAAAACCAAAACAAATTAATAGGAGAAAGCAGTTACACAGCAGTCAAACAGAGCTGGAAAGTAACGTGAACAACATGAAAAAACAAAGGAAAAAAGGATTACAAACAATGCAGGACAACTTAAATCTACAGGAGGAACTAAAAGCATCAGAAACATGGACAAGGAAAGAACTCAAGGCATACATAACTCAGATGGAACGGAATATTAGAGAAGACATGAGACAGCAAGTCCAAGCAATGAAAGTATATTTTGAAAACGAATTAAACAAACAAATTCAAACTGCAAAGAACGAGCTTTACCAGGAGATAGAGATTTCAAAAAAAAAAAAAAAACCAGACAGTAATCCTAGAAATGCAGGAAACCATAAACCAAATTAAAAACTCTAACGAGAATATTACAAATAGACTAGGTCAAGTAGGAATCAGAACATCAGATAATGAAGACAAAGTTTATCAACTTGAAAAGAATATAGTCAACACAGAAAGGATGCTTAAATCTCACGAGCAATCTATCCAAGAGTTATGGGATATCATAAAAAAACCAAACTTGAGAGTCACTGGGATAGAAAAAGGTATAGAGGTTTAAACCAAAGGAATGGACAACCTATTAAATGAAATAATCCTAGAAAACTTCCCAGAGATGAACGATGGAATGGATTGCCAAATCATGGAAGCCTACAGGACCCCAAACATTCAAAACCGTAATAGACCAATTCCAAGACATATAATTATGAAGATAGCCAACATACAGAACAAGGAGAGAATATTAAAAGCTACGAGAGAAAGGAGGCAGATTACATTCAGGGGTAAACCAATTAGGTTAACGACTGATTTATCATCACAGACTTTGAAAGCAAGAAGATCCTGGAACAATGTATTTCAAACGCGGAAAAATAATGGATTCCAACCAAGAATACTGTATCCAGCAAAATTAAGCTTCAGATTTGACAATGAAGTTAAAATCTTTCACGATAAACAAAAGCTAAAAGAATTCGCAGCCAGAAAACCAGCACTGCAAAGCATTTTGAGCAAAATACTACAAGAAGAGGAATTGAAAAATAGCGCCCAAAACTAACAGTGGGAGGTATCTCAGTAAACAGGGAGAAAAATAACCAAAGAGGAAAAACTAGCCAAACTAAAATAAATAAATAAATAAACATGACTGGAAGTATAAACCATATTTCAATTGTAACCTTAAATGTTAATGGCTTAAACTCACCAATCAAGAGACATAGGCTAGTAACCTGGATTAAAAAAACAAATCCAACAATATGCTGCCTTCAGGAGACTCATATGATAGGAAAAGACATACACAGGCTGAAGGTGAAAGGTTGGGAAAAATCATACCACTCACATGGCCCTCGGAAGCAAGCAGGAGTGGCCATACTCATATTGAATAAAATCAACTTCAAACCTAAGTTAATCAAAAGGGATAAAGAAGGACACTATATACTGTTAAAAGGAACCATCCACCAACAAGACAATTTGTATACACCAAACAATGGTGCTGCAGTGTTCATAAAACAAACTCTCCTCAAGTTCAAGAGTCAAATAGACCACAACACAATAATTATGGGTTACTTCAACACACCACTCTCGCCATTAGACAGATCCTCTAGACTAAAGCTGAATAAAGAAACTATAGAACTCAATAACGCAATCAATAACCTAGACTTAACCGACATATATAGAATGTATCAAACATCATCAAGTGGATACACGTTCTTCTCAGCAGCACATGGATCCTACTCAAAGATAGACCAATTAGTTGCCATAGGGCAACTATCAGTAAATATAAAGGTGTGGACATAATACCATGCACCATATCTGATCATAATGGAATGAATCTGGAAATCAATGATAAAAGAAGGAAGGAAAAATCCTGCATCACCTGGAAAATGAACAATATGTTACTGAATGATCAATGGGTTACAGAAGACATAAAGGAGGAAATAATAAAATTCTTAGAGATAAACGACAATACAGACACAACATACCGGAATCTACGGGACACAATGAAAGCAGTTTTAAGAGGGAAATTCATTTCCTGGACTTCATCCCCCCAAAAAAGAAAAAACCAACAAATAAATGAACTCACACTACATCTTAAAACCCTAAAAAAGGAAGAGCAAAACAACAGCAAATGTAGTAGAAGACAAGAAATAATTAAAATCAGAGCGGAAATCAACGAAATTGAAACAAAAAAAAAAAAACATTGAAAAAATTGATAAAACTAAAAGTTGGTTCTTTGAAAAAATAAATAAGATCCACAGACCCTTAGCCATGCTAACGAAGAGAAGAAGAGAAAGAACTCAAATTACTAACATACAGGATGAAAAAAGGCAATATCACAACAGACACTACAGAAATACAGAAGATAATTAGAAAGTATTTTGAAACCCTATATTCCAATAAAATAGAAGATAATGAAGATATCGATAAATTTCTTAAGTCATATGATCTGCCCAGATTGAGTCAGGAAGACACACATAATTTAAACAGACCAATAACAAAGGAAGAAATAGAAGAAGCCATCAAAAGACTACCAACCAAGAAAAGCCCTGGACAGGATGGGTATACAGCAGAGTTTTACAAAACCTTCAAAGAAGAATTAATACCAATACTTTTCAAGCTATTTCAAGAAATAGAAAAAGAAGGAGCTCTTCCAAATTCATTCTATGAGGCCAACATCACCCTGATCCCGAAACCAGACAAAGACACTTCAAAGAAAGAAAACTACAGACCAATATCTCTAATGAACTTGGATGCAAAAATTCTCAATAAAATCCTGGCGAATCGAATACAAAAGCATATCAAAAAAATTGTGCACCATGATCAAGTAGGATTCATCCCTGGGATGCAAGGCTGGTTCAATATACGGAAATCAATAAATGTTATTCACCACATCAATAGACTTAAAGATAAGAATCATTATGATCATCTCGATAGATGCAGAAAAAGCATTCGACAAAGTACAGCATCCCTTTATGTTCAAAACACTAGAAAAACTAGGGATAACAGGAACTTACCTCAACATTGTAAAAGCTATGTATGCTAAGCCTCAGGCTAGCATCATTCTAAATGGAGAAAAACTGAAGGCATTCCCTCTAAAATCTGGAACAAGACAGGGATGCCCTCTCTCACCACTTCTATTCAATTTAGTTCTTGAAATACTAGCCAGAGCAATTAGACAGACAAAAGAAATTAAAGGCATAAAAATAGGAAAAGAAGAACTTAAATTATCACTATTTGCGGATGATATGATAATATATCTAACAGACCCAAAAGGGTCTACAAAGAAACTGCTAGAGTTAATAAATGAATTCAGCAAAGTGGCAGGATATAAAATCAACACGCATAAATCAAAGGCATTCCTGTATATCAGCAACAAAACTTCTGAAATGGAAATGAGGAAAACCACTCCATTCACAATATCCTCAAAAAAAAAAAAAATACTTGGGAATCAACCTAACAAAAGAGGTGAAAGATTTATACAATGAAAACTACAGAACCCTAAAGAGAGAGATAGAAGAAGATCTTAGAAGATGGAAAAATGTACCCTGTTCATGGATAGGCAGAACTAACATCATCAAAATGGCGATATTACCCAAAGTTCTCTACAGGTTTAATGCGATGCCAATCAAAATCCCAACAGCATTTCTTGTAGAAATAGAGAAAGCAATCATGAAATTCATATGGAAAAAGAAAAGACCCAGAATAGCAAAAGCAATTCTAAGCAGGAAGTGTGAATCTGGAGGTATAGCGATACTAGATTTCAAACTGTACTACAGAGCAATAGTAACAAAAACAGCATGGTACTGGTACCAAAACAGGCAGGTGGACCAATGGTACAGAATAGAGGACACAGAGACCAATCCACAAAATTACAACTTTCTTATATTTGATAAAGGGGCTAAATGCATGCAATGGAGGAAGGATAGCATCTTCAACAAATGGTGCTGGGAAAACTGGAAATCCATATGCAACAAAATGAAGCTGAACCCCTTTCTCTCGCCATGCACAAAAGTTAACTCAAAATGGATCAAAGAGCTTGATATCAAATCAGAGACTCTGCACCTGATAGAAGAAAAAGTTGGCTCCGATCTACATATTGTGGGGTCGGGCTCCAAATTCCTTAATAGGACGCCCATAGCCCAAGAGTTAATAACAAGAATAAACAAATGGGACTTATTTAAACTAAAAAGTTTTTTCTCAGCAAGAGAAACAATAAGAGAAGTAAATAGGGAGCCTACATCCTGGGAACAAATCTTTACTCCTCACACTTCAGATAGAGCCCTAATTTCCAGAATATACAAAGAACTCAAAAAATTAAACAATAACAAATAACGCAATCAACAAATGGGCCAAGGACCTGAACAGACACTTCTCAAAGGAGGACATACAATCAATCAATAAGTACATGAAAAAATGCTCACCATCTCTAGCAGTCAGAGAAATGCAAATCAAAACCACCCTAAGATACCATCTCACTCCAGTAAGATTGGCAGGCATTATGAAGTCAAACAACAATAAGTGCTGGCGAAGATGTGGGGAAAAGGGCACACTTATACATTGCTAGTGGGACTGCAAATTGGTGCAGCCAATATGGAAAGCAGTATGGAGATTCCTGGGAAAGCTGGGAATGGAACCACCATTTGACCCAGCTATCGTCCTTCTCGGACTATTCCCTGAAGACCTTAAAAGAGCGTACGATAGGGATACTGTCACATCAATGATCATAGCAGCACAATTCACAATAGCTAGACTGTGGAACCAACTTAGATGCCCTTCAATAGATGAATGTATATCAAAAATGTGGCATTTATACACAATGGAGTATTACGCAGCACTAAAAAATGACAAAATCATGGAATTTGCAGGGAAATGGATGGCATTAGAGCAGATTATGCTAAGTGAAGCTAGCCAATCCTTAAAAAACAAATGCCAAATGTCTTCTTTGATTTAAGAAGAGCAACTAAGAACTGAGCAGGGAGGAAGAGCATGAGGAAAAGATTAACATTAAACAGAGACAAGTGGTGGGAGGGAAAGGGAGAGAGAAGGGAAATTGCATGGAAACGGAAGGAAACCCTCGATGTTATACGAAATCACATATAAGAGGTTGTGAGGGGAAAGGGGGGGGAATAAAAAAAAAACAAGGGAGAGAACTGAACAACAACAGATGAGGTAGAGAGGGAAGATGGGAGGGGAGGGGAGGGGGGATAGTAGGGGATAGGAAAGGCAGCAGAATACAACAGTCACAAATATGGCATTATGCAAAAATGTGAATGTGTAACTGATGTGATTCTGCAATTTGTATTTGGGGTAAAAATGGGAGTTCATAACTCACTTGAATCAAATGTATGAAAGATGATATGTCATGAGCTTTGTAATGTTTTGAACAACCAAATTAAAAAAAAAAGAACTAACTTTTGGTTTGGTTTCATTGGTTTTCACTGTTGTTTGGGTATAGATTAGATTCTTGGGTTGGAGAATTAGGTTATTGATTGAGATCTTTCTTCTTTTCTGACATAGGCATTTAAAACTACACATTTCCTATTGGGTACAGTGGCATACCATTGTAATCCCAGTAACTCAAGAGGCTGAGACCAAAGGATCACAAATTTGACATCAGTTCAGCCCTGTCTCAAAATAAAATATAAAAAAGGGCTGGGGAGGTAGCTCAAGTGGTCAACTGCCTCTGGGTTCACTTCTCAGAATGGCAAAAATAAATACAACTATACATTTCCCTGTAAACATTGCACCTAATACATTTTTCTTTTCATTGAGTTCAAACTTTCTACATATCTATTGTGATGTATTTTTTGATCCATGGGCTTCAAAGCATATTACTTAATTTCCAAATATTTGGAGATTTCTTCCTGGTAGGTATTTCTATGTGGTCAGAGGGCATACTTTGTATGAATCCAGTCCTCTCTAATTTATTGAGGTTTATTTTGGGGCCTCTGACCTGGAAAGTTTGTGTGACCTCTTACCCCAGGACTGTTATCATGTTGGTTGCTTAATATTTTTCCTGAACTAATTCTGTGACTCCTGTCTCCTCTACATTGGGCAGTTGCTGATCTCTCTGCCCAGAATTTTTTTTTTTTTCTCATCTGCTAACTATAGCTTTCAGTCAATTATTAGTAAAAGATTGTGTTCAAACACTTTAGCTATTAAGGCTTCCATTCTCTGCAGAAGGACCTGTGTGGGGGCTGGAGACACCTTCAAAACTGGACTGTTTTCAGGTCTGCCCCAGCTTTTAATTTCTTCTGGGTCCTCATTTCTTTTGCCACATGTGTCAGTTTCACTATCCAAGGACATGTGGGAGGCTGCAGCCTGCTCTGGCCTCTCCTACACAGATGCACAGCCTCCATTCAACTTGGGATATGCTGAGAACTTAGCCCCAGTCCCAGCTATTTAACTTCATGAAATTCCCTATTAAATCCCTCTCTAGTCCCCTGGCCCATGGCTTCTCTAAAATGGGCCTAAAACCTAGTTTTGCAGGGCCACCATTACAACTGCCTGTCATTAAAATTGCCACTTTAATTCACAGTGCTCACCAGGTTTCTTAGCCTCGTCACTACTGGTGTTTAGACCGGATAACTTTTTGTCATGGGAGCTTTCCTGTGCATTACAGGATTTTAGCCACATCCTTGGTATCTATCCATTAGACACCAGTAGCATCCCCTTGTTGTGACAACCAAAAGTGTCTCTAGACACTGCCAAATGTCTCCTGGGGGCAAAATCATCTCTGGATAAGAAATACTGGTCCAGAGTATGTCAGTCATAATTTGGGAGAACTTTTTTTTTAACCCCCAAAGATCATCCTCTATGTCATGATATATGAAACCCAGAAATGTGCACATTATATTTCATTGTTCAAGACGCACATATCTCTCCTCCATGCATTGACTACCTGTGCAAATGTGTAAAAGCAAAACAAGATCCTACCTATCCTTCATTTTAATTAAAGATAACCAAATACTACTGGTAAATAGTGCCATTTGACATAAACTAAGTCTGTAGTTCCTTGGTTTATTTCATCTGGGATCAAATTGGGAGAAAAAGATTAACCAAATAAAGCAAAGAGTACTTTTTGCAAAGCAGTTTTTGTTTGTGAGATGAGACATGCTCATGGACTTCAATGGGCAAGGGCTACCTACTGCATATGGACTAAGATACCACCTATCTTGCCACATGTGGCAGACAGAATAAAGGCCCCCAAAGATATCCACATCCCAATATTCAGAACCTGAGTATCATATAGCAAATGGGACATTGCAGATGTGATAAGAATCTTGAGATACAAAGATTATTTTGGATTATCCAGATGGGTTTAAAATAATCATGAAGGGTTTTTTTGGTGGGGGGAGGATACCAAGGTTTGAACTCAGGGGTGTTTAATCACTGAGCCACATCCTCAGCCCATTTTATTTTTATTTTGAGACAGGGTCTCACTAAGTTACTTAGACCCTCGATAGGTTGCTGAGGGAGGCTGACCTCAAACTCAAGATCCTCCTGTCTCAGCTCCCTTGAGCTGCTGGGGTTATAGGTGTGAACCACCTTATCTAAAATCCAAGCACACTCATGGGTACTTACAGGTGTAAACCACCGTATCTAATCACAAAGATCTTTATAAGGAAGTGGGATGGCCAGAGCCCAAGATGTAAGGGTGGAAGAAGTTGACGTAATGGGGGCCACAGGTCAAGGAATGCAGGCAGCTTCTAGAAGTTGGAACAGGCAGAAAAAGATTTAACCTGAGGACTCTAGCAGAAGACAGTCCTTGACATACAGTGAGACCCACTTTGAACTTCTAACCTACAGAACTGTAAAATAATGTTTGTAGTCATTGCTAGAACAGCCGCAGGAAGCCAATATACCATGTCTTCCCCATGTGAAGTTAGTCCTGTCTCCCAG